GCGCTCCGCGGGGCCTGTTGTGCTGGGTAGGCCTGCCTGGCCTGGCGGGGGCCGAGTCTGAGAGCTGGTGAGGGGAACAGAGGCATGGGAAGGAGAGGAAGAAGCGAGTGAGGGGCGCGCCCCCGCGCGCTCCCTAGGCTGGGCTCGCGTTGGGCCCGGGTCGGCGTCCCGGTGAGATCGTGCTGTGTCATGCAGGCCCCGGCCGGCCTGATTGGCAACGTCTGGACAGCAGTCCTGACCTAGCGAGGTTATCGGACCCACGTAGCCTGTGGGGCGCTCCGGGGACTCGGGGCGCCCATCTGCGCTCCCCCTTGCTCCCCCGGAAGGCCCTCGGCCCCCGAAGAGAGCAGGCCCTACGAGCCCGAGGCCCCGCTGGGCCCGGTGGGCGTGGACTTTGAGCCACGTGAAGGCCTCCGGAGCCCTGAGAGTGAGGCGGATCCGGGGCGGGGGAGGCGCGGCTCGGCGAGCTGCGGGAGCTCACACCCGCCCTGTGGAACCGGGGCTGCCTGGCCTGAGTGGCCTTCTCTGTGCCCTGCTACTAGTGAGGGGCGTCAGGGAGAGGGCGAGCCTTGCCTGTGGCTTTTTCCTACTTTAGGCCTGTTGTAAATACGCGAAAGCTCTAGTCAGTTTTTCTTCCGTTGTGGGAATGCGAGAAAAGAATTTTTCCGATCCAATTTTAGATCCTGCGAGAGTTAGGGTATCAAGTTAACATTTTGGGGATCTTTCTATATTTCACCTTTTGTGAGTTCTAGATTCGGGTTACCGTTGCCCTGCTCTCCCCCAATCCTGTTGCCCCTTTCTGCAGTTAAGATGAGGAATTGTCTGTTGCTTTGGGGATTTCTGGCCCCACCTTCCTTCTCTCCCGAGAGCTTCAAATAAAACCTGGCTACTTCAGCCCATTCAGTTTAGACTCTAGAGCTTTAGATTCTAAAAAAAGAAAATGAAAACCAAGCAAGGTACCCAGCCCACAGAAATTCTTTGTAAATTACTTTCCTGCTTTGAAGAGATTAATTTGAGGTGTGTTCCTTTTTCTCAAGCTTTTAAATTGGGGAGAAGTGTTACCCAGTTGCTTAACTAAAAGGACTACTTACTAGAACATAAAGTGATCTCTTAAGTTGCATCCAGTCTGTCTTTTGCTTTCAAAACTAAAAGTAAAAAACTACAATTCTTGGAACCTCAGTATCAAGGGTAGTTTGTGACCTCTAAGTCATCTTAATGAGTCCTACCTGTAGCCTCTTGGGATTCTGGAAAGGGCCTGAGTCATGCTGAAGACAATAGGGGACATCCCCAAAGAACATTGAGAACTGCTGTTGAACTGTGGTCAGGTTGAATTCACTCTTGGAAATAAATTACCACCTTTGATCTCTTGGGTAGGTGGGAAATTAAGAGTTCTTTAACTTGAATGAAGGCCATCTTAGAGCCAGCAGAGTCAGGAATGGTAGACAGATTGGAGGTTTTCCTAGAGTACGGTTCTGACGTTCAAATGCAGCCTATGAAGACTTGAAACATGTGGCAGTAATTTTTTCTTCAGCTCCAATCCTATAAAATGAAAAGGAATTTGAGCAGCCTTTGGGTGAAGGTATTTGGTTGGGGTTAAAGGGGAGAACTAATGGGTTTCTTTATGTGTTACCTTTAGCTGTCACACTGATTAAGAGTACCTACTCTTCTGCACCCTCCGCAGAGTTGCGCTCTTCTGGGGTAGGGAAGCCAGTTACATCTGAGGAAATTGTACTCTTGGAAATTAAAAATAGTTATAAAGATATATCTTATATAAGAGAGCTTTAGGAGAAAGCTTAGCACTTTGTTAAATGAGTAGGATTTGTTTGGCATTATAGAGCACAGGTATCTTTTCTTGAAAATTGTGATATTTCCAATGGCAATACTATTTTGTCTTATTTTAGGTGTCTTGTTTTGTTTTGTTTTGAGACAGTCTTGCTCTGTAATTCAGGCTGGTATTGAACTCACAGTGATCCTCCTGCCTCAGCCTCCCAAGTGCTGGGATTAAAGGCATGCACCACTGCACAGAACTATTTTGTCTTGATTTGAAACTGTTCCTATTCCTAGATCCTTGAACAGCATCTGGTGCAGAGTAGACACTATATTCTGTTTCTTCCATTGTTTAGCCTCCCTGTTGTGGTTAATACAAATTTTCCCAAGACTTAGTAAGAAGCAGTAACTTTTCAAAGGTTAAGTCGGTTGGAGATGAGCTACTTAAGAAATTAGTGTCACCATTCAGTAAATGATCCTGTCTTCTAGAATATGGTAGAAACTGAGTTTAGACTCAGACATCCTTGATTTGGGTGAGAAGAATTGTGACTTTGCCTCATGTCTCAGTATTTCTTAGTTTTGACTTTTTGAATGAACTCCACTGAGGTATGTGCCTTTGTAGTAACTACTGTAAAGCTCCTTCTTTTTTTTTTTTTTTTTTTTTTTT